GGCCTTGACTCTGTGTAAGCACTGCTCAGCAGTAACTAAAGCATCCCTGTGTTATCAGCACTGTTTTCACCACAAATCCAAGACGTAGCCCCACACTAGCTACTATGAAGAAAATTAACTCTATCCCAGCCAAACCCAGCACACAAGAGAATCTGGTTAACTTATATGGTAACCTGACTATTACTGTATTTATTTTACATATTTTACCAGAAAACATTTTCCATAAAAGCTGCACTAAAATTCTCTTTCTTACCCAAATTAACAAATGTAGGAATTTTTTAAATAGCACCTTATGTTATAAGAGAACATTTTTATTAATTATGTCTGTGGGTGCTTTTTTCAGTTGGTTGTGACATGGAGATACACTGACAGGAACAAATGCTGCAGAACATTGTCAGAAATGTGTAGGTGAATTTTTAGAAGAGTATGTTTCAATTTGTATTCAGTTTCAATTCTCTTTGTTCCAATTTCAGTTTATACTCACATTTCTTTGGTTTGCACTTCTCTTTAAAAGATTGGTGTCAGGACAATTTAAAAGAGTACAGTTTAAGCAAATGCACTCATATATGTCATAGTACTCAGGAGAAGCAAATTTCAAGTTATGATAGTAAGAATTCAGCTTATTCACCCATATTTTGAAATATTTATCATTGGTTTAGGGCAATTCTCATTTTTTTTCTACCTGCCTCATGTTGCTCATGAACAAATTCGACCCAGACACTGTTGTCTACAGTTAATTAATTTGGAATAGCTGGAACATCTGAGAACCCTGGGAACTACTGTGAGCAATGTGTGAACAGAAGAAAATTAAAATCATTGTCTAATGCTGAAGTAAAAAAAAATCTGTCTAGTTTTAGTTATATTTATAGCAATTTAAAACATGAAGAGAAAGCCTCTTGTTAAATATTAGCTAGTCGATGCATTACTGTTGTCTTTTCTCCTTTGTTTTTCAGATGGAGAAAATCCTCCAAGGAACCATATGAATGAAGGGGCATATAACAAACCAGTTCATCACACTGTGATTAAAACTGAAAGTTCAGTAATAAAAACAGGAGTGAGACCAGAAACAAGTGCCAATGAGGATTATGTGTCACCCCCCAAATACAAAAGCAGCTTATTGAATCGCTACCTAAATGACTCATTGAGACATGTCATGGCTACTAATGCAGCTATGATGGAAAAAACAAGGCAAAGGAATCACTCTGGTTCATTTAGTTCCAATGAATTTGAGGAGGAATTGGTGTCTCCATCATCATCAGAGACAGAAGGCAATTTTGTCTACCGGACAGGTAAGGGATTCTTTCTGCATCCTTTCTAATACAGCCAGCTTTTGTGGATGGTGTCCCTGGAATGAGTGTCACCTGATTGTGCCTTTCATGAGAGTGGGTAACTCCTGTCCACCCCCTCATATGAGGGTGGATCACTCCTGTCTCTTCTTCCTTTCATTCACTGGATAAGTTCTATCAGGTTGAAGTTAAATGCTGTTACTGACCACTAATGAAGCTGCTTTGCTTTTTGAATGGAGCTATGGGGCTGATTTTTGAAATGACACTTACAGGCTGGTTTTGTCAGCACTAAGACAAGCCTAAAGAAGGAGAAAATTCTTGAGCATTCTGTTACAGTAAGGGAGGACTAGAGGTCTAAAGCAGTCCATGGCCCCAGCTGGAAGGAAGAGGAGAGCTTTGAAATTTCAAGGTGGCTGTTTGTGGCACTTACACGAGCCATATGACCCCCAGTGGAGTGCACGTGAACATCTTCCCCTGTTGTACAGTGTCTTTTCTGTCCTCAGAATGCCTTCTCCAGCGCGTGGCCCTTTGGTGCTCACGCATCTCTTAGGAATACGTGGATGAGTTTTGACCAATTTCTGCATCATTCTCCAGGCACAGTGCGCTGAACTGAGGGGCCACAGACTCGGCCATTAAGTGTCTTGGCTTAATGTTTTTTTGAATAATTTATCATTTTAATCTTATCAATAAAAATTTAAAAGCACGATTTTTATCACCTGCTGTGTTACCAGTCAGAAGGCGGCACATGGGACTGCCTGGTTCACGCCAGTACATTGGTGTGAATCAGGGCAAGATCAGAACCTGCTCAGGTCCCTGCGCAGCAGGGAGTGCTGGAAAGCTCCTCTTGTGGAGCTTGTTCTGTATTTCTTTGGGGATGTAAGGCAAAGGCTCTCCCCTTTGACAAAAATGAAGTCTTGCATCCCAAGCTCTGGAGGCCTCCGCCAGCATCCCAGGATGTCCACCCATCTCAGCAGCCCTTCGTGTTGTCCCGGGGCCTTTCTTGGGGGGCGAGTTCTGCCAGGGACCACCCTGCGGGCAGCGTCGCTTTTGGGATGGATGAATATTGACAAAAAGTACTGGAGGGCTTTGCACTAAAGTTAAAATAGTTCTACTTGGTTCGCCTTGGCTTCCCGGTCAGGCAGGTTCGGGTGCCCCTCGCCTTTGCAAGCCCTCAAGGTTGCAGCCTGTGCCCTCTCTTCCCTGACCCGTTTTATAGGACTTTTGTCGCTGTGGTGGGGCCACAAGGATTTGAGAAGGCTGTATGCTCTGGTGGGGGTAGGAGGACGTAGTTGGTGCATGCAGGTTGTCGGGGATGACCAAGGGGGGAGTGGGGGCCCCACAGAGAAACAGGATCTCGTGGGGAGCAAGATTAGTGCATGCATGATGAGTAAGTTTCAAAATTAACTCACTCTCTTCATTTAGCTTTTTTTTTCCCAACATACCAAATGCATTTGCTCTGCATTATGGGCCTATTGTCTGCCAAGTTTTATTTTTAAGTGAAAAGTTACTCAAGAACAGATGCAGCAGCTCAGATATGTAAACTTCTGTTCTTCTGTACTTTTATACCATAACTTAAAAATGGACACAATGACTTTTTAAAAATTGTAATAAATTTGCTACTGGATTAAGTTCTTCTTGCCAAGTTTCAAGCTGCACTGAAAAATATGGTCTTTAATGGGAAGGCTGAGACAGGCACACGGTAACTGTGTCAGTTCACAAGCTGGACTGGAATGACTGAAAACCAGTATATTTGTCCTTAAAGTTCATAACTGACATTCCTGGAACTTCTCTTGAGATCGTATTTAAGTCAGTTCTTTGTTAATGTTTTGAAGTGCCTTTGATGAGACCAGCACCTCTCAGGATATAGTTTTATTCTTTTTACACTGCCAAAGCAGACAAGCAGTAGCCTGCTGATAGAAAGAAAAAAAAAAAAAGCTACAAAATTACAGTCCCACTAATGATTTTCTGATGATGTTATAACATGCAGGAACTGAGACCTTCACAAACAAAGGAGGTGTTTTCAAGTTATCATCCATTCATGAAATCTATTTACAAATAGATGAAAGTATCCAAATGATTGTTAGATAGGAAGAGATAAATAAGGACGCTTTATTTTTTAATGTCTTTTCTCTGTAATTTGAATACCTGGGGTGGCAGTTCTCAGTGCAGTTGTGTAGCAGACCTGTATCTGTGTTCTCAAAAATAGCTGCAATCCATTTTGGTTATGCAAAATACCAGGGTATGTCAGACTGTACCACTCATACCTTCCTGAAAGCAGCAAGTGTATTTTTAAGTGAGATATCACCACTTACATGAAGCTCCCCGATGCAGTTTTTTGTTAAGTGGAACAGCTCATTTTTAAGACAAAAGAGTTGAAGCAGAATTGTGACGTCCCTACTAGATGCTTTAGTTTATGTAGACATTTTGAGTAGTATTTCAAAAAGCACAGAGTGAAAACCAAGTGACATTTTATTTTTGAGAAACGTTTGGCAAGGTTGCTGTGCTCCTAAAAGCAGGCAGTCACTGGTGTTGAAGCAAATTCTTTATTGTGTTTCCCTGGAAAAGCAACTTTTCACAGCAAATCGTGAGTAAAAAGCTTACTCGCCACGTCTGGTTCATCTTACTGGCCAGACCCTGATTCCAGGTACATCAGCGTGTCCGGAGCGACTCCGCTCGCACGGTGCCCAGGGTCGGCGTGGCCATGTGCATCGCAACAGCCTCACCAAATTAACCGGCTATGAGCGCAGCATCCAGTGACAGAAACAAGAAATTGCAGTTTAAAGTTTATAAGGAAAGCGGGTTGTACAGTTTCCCATTTCGGTCATTAACATGCTTATAAACACGGGACCATATGCTTCTCTAGCGTCGTGCAACTGGGAAATCCGATGTAAAGATGAAGGGCGGGCTATATAACCGACCGTCAGGAGCGCGGCCTCGCTTTGTACCTCTGCAGGATTATTGTGAGCTCATGGGAAGCGGCTTTAGTGCTGGGGCGGGAGCAGCACGC